CACACACACACACACACAACAACATCCCACACAAAGAAGCAAAAGATCAATCTGAGGAAATTGTAAAACCAATTGTTGTATCATAATAGGCACCATTGCGGCATTGGTGATTAATGGTGGTCGGACCTATTATACATTGTAGAACAAAAAGACGACAAATGATGACTGATGCTGTATAAGCATTAAATCAATGAAAGAACGAAAAAACTGGAAATTGTCAAACCAGTGTAAAGAAAGGTGCATATGTGATATTATGCCAGGGTAGCTGTATATGATAAATGTCAGAGAGAGAGAGAGATTCATACCTGAAGGAGGAAGCACAAAGAACAAAGAGACAAGCAATATAAAGGAGAAATAAATAGGTGAGTCAAAACAAGTTGTGGTAAAGTGTGTTAGAGAAACCAGAGCTTGAGAACAAAAGGGTCGTCTGAAAGCAATAGTCCCCAAGCAATGTCGAGCTCAAGAACCTCTCTAACTTTGCATAGCAGACACGTAACCATCCAACTTCTCTTGGCTTGAAAGCCAAGAGACAATCTTTAAGCCAGAGAATAATATGCAACTACATGGACACTAACTAGCCATTTTCTGCGACATGAAATTACATGTCTACCCCATACTGGTAATGAAGTGACTGTACAACCTGACCACGTTGAATTGGATAACTTGGTCAATATCTTGTGGGTCTTTTCGTGGTCGGCTTTCTCTTTTCAAGAAGAGAGAATGGAGCCATTGGAAAGGTAAGCGCAATGCAATGTCCTAATCTTGAACTTGTAACAATTTAGATCTGGTGGAAGTTTATGTAACTCAAGTGATAACACCGATAAGATGTAAATTCAGATCAAGTGAAAGTTCATGTAGCTCAAGTTAACCGGGACAAACTGTAAATCTTAAAGTGAAAGTTCATTGGCTAAAATGATAACCGAGATGAATTACAAATTCTCAAGTGGAAGTTCATGTAGCCCAAGTAATAACAGATATCTTTCATAAATCTATATAATAAATCAGTTAGCAAGTTAAATTTTATTCCTTATACATTTTTTTCCCAAAAAATATGACATTACCAAATTTTATCACCTGTTCATTCATTTAATATTTAGTTAATTTGTATTTTAACACAACTTTTATTTCATGCATTATTCATACGCGATAGTATACACATGTTGAAACAATTTTATCGAGTTATATATTTTGAAAAAAATTTGATGTAATTTTTAAGAAAATAATATGTAGTAATTAATTTAAAATGATGTAAGTAAAGAAATTAATTTTAAATTTGGTATAGTAAAATTAATTTTTTGAACACTAAAATTTTATATTTAATCGTAGCTTCAGACACGGGTTATAACTAGGATCTAAATAACAGAGATGCAGATATCTTTCGTAAATATCTAAATACCATGATCAGTCGATGAAAAAAATTAGNAAATTAATTTAAAATGATGTAAGTAAAGAAATTAATTTTAAATTTGGTATAGTAAAATCAATTTTTTGAACACTAAAATTTTATATTTAATCGTAGCTTCAGACATGGGTTATAACTAGGATCTAAATAACAGATATGCAGATATCTTTCGTAAATATCTAAATACCATGATCAGTCGATGAAAAAAATTAGTTAATGTGTACATAAACGGGTCTCTCTGCATCAAAAATAAAAAAGAAGTTCATACAGGAATTCTATAGAAATAAAAGNAGTTAATGTGTACATAAACGGGTCTCTCTGCATCAAAAATAAAAAAGAAGTTCATACAGGAATTCTATAGAAATAAAAGTGTTTGTATTAACAACGCATTCTCAATTCTGACAAAAAGGGGGAGACAATTCTTTGAAATTGGAATTATCCCAAATCAAAAATGTGTTTTTTCCCCTACCTAACTGCCTTACCAAGTCAACACCACGAAACATTTACTTGCTTGTCAAAAAAGTTTCACAACATTTACTTGCTTGTCTCCGCCTCTTTGGTAGAAATGGCTCAAATTCCAAAAAGATAGACGCCGCCACAAATTTCGGCAATTCAGCACCGAAATAGTGTCGAAAGTAATGGGGACAGGCAGAGTTTGAGCCTCATCGTCGAATTGTAGAGTTCGTTTGCGAAGAAGATGAGCGAAAAGTAAACTCTTGCTATTTGAAATTTTCCCAATTACTTTGATCTTTGTAATTACCAAAATGCCATTGATCCTAAACATCAATAAAATGACCACACTTGCTAATGCAAAATGTTAGGAAAAATTACACTCATATTTCGTGAAATTTATCACTTAATCATTTAAATCTCTTAATATTTAAAATATTATACATAAACCCCCTTATCATAACTTTTTTGTTTTTGGAGGGAGAAGAGAAGGTAAAAAAAGGCTTGAACCATTAATTTCAAGAAATTAAAANTAAACCCCCTTATCATAACTTTTTTGTTTTTGGAGGGAGAAGAGAAGGTAAAAAAGGGTTTGAACCATTAATTTCAAGAAAGTAAAACTTTCACAAAGTAAAAGGTATTATTGGACCAAAGACTCGTTGATATAAACCCTCTTATCATAAATCCAAAACCCAACATATAGACTAACGGACATAACCCATATCATAATACACTATCCTTAACCCTTATCATAATTTCTTTTGAATTGTATTTATCCATAATTTAAAAGCACCTAATCAACTATCAACTTTAAGATTACTTTCTCCAAAAAAAAAAAACTAAGGGAAAAAATATTGGGTGAAAATCTTATACCACATCATCAGTACCACATGGTATAATTATCCATTAAAAAGTAAATAAGCCTACAAGTGAGCCCCACACCCCACAAATTCATAAACTCAATCATGTAATACATAACCACTTTTATGATAAAGAATAGATCCCATTTTATATTTTATTTTATTGGACGATTACACTATATCAACATTACCGACATAATACAACCATTACACTTAATATTTACTCCAATTATACCATTAAATAAAAGTGTAATAAAGAGAACCTCAATCCATAATGAGTGGTTACTGAATTACGTAAAATGCATTTATTCACTTGTTTTTTTAACTAAATAATAATATCAAATGGTGATAATAAATTGATATCATCGTTACATTGAATATTTTTTTTGTCAGGATAGTGTCACGAGGAGAGCCTAGGTGACACAGATTATGACAACCGTCACTTATNTAAACCCCCTTATCATAACTTTTTTGTTTTTGGAGGGAGAAGAGAAGGTAAAAAAAGGCTTGAACCATTAATTTCAAGAAATTAAAACTTTCACAAAGTAAAGGGTATTATTGGACCAAAGACTCGTTGATATAAACCCTCTTATCATAAATCCAAAACCCAACATATATACTAACGGACATAACCCATATCATAATACACTATCCTTATCCCCTATCATAATTTCTTTTGAATTGTATTTATCCATAATTTANCTAACGGACATAACCCATATCATAATACACTATCCTTATCCCCTATCATAATTTCTTTTGAATTGTATTTATCCATAATTTAAAAGACACCTAATCAACTATCAACTTTAAGATTACTTTCTCCAAAAAAAAAAAAACTAAGGGAAAAAATATTGGGTGAAAATCTTATACCACATCATCAGTACCACATGGTATAATTATCCATTAAAAAGTAAATAAGCCTACAAGTGAGCCCCACACCCCACAAATTCATAAACTCAATCATGTAATACATAACCACTTTTATGATAAAGAATAGATCCCATTTTATATTTTGTTTTATTGGACGATTACACTATATCAACATTACCGACATAATACAACCATTACACTTAATATTTACTCCAATTATACCATTAAATAAAAGTGTAATAAAGAGAACCTCAATCCATAATGAGTGGTTACTGAATTACGTCAAATGCATTTATTCACTTGTTTTTTTTACTAAATAATAATATCAAATGGTGATAATAAATTGATATCTTCGTTACATTGAATATTTTTTTTGTTAGGATAGTGTCACGAGGAGAGCCTAGGTGACACAGATTATGACAACCGTCACTTATCATAAATCCTTAACCCACCAGAAGCAAAAGCTTTGATTATAAGTAATGTTACTCTTACCACAAAATCTGTAATGTTTCTCTTATCAATATCTTACATAACATGACTTCACTTTAGATATACATCACACAAATACTGAAGACAAAGATGGAAAAAACAAAGAATTCTATGACTACCAAAATCACAACAACATTTGCCAATGGTGGCTTTTTGTTCAGTGCAATATGCAACATAATATTTCAAGACGCAACCGCAATCACGGCCTAAATCATGAGAAAGGCCTTCAAAAATCAATCAGGATGTACATTGTACCAGTGTATATCTCTTGCAGATGGTCCGACCAGCGCCTATGTCGCTACCTGATGTTTATGTATATATCATTCTTTGATCTCAAACACTTCGAGTTGTGAAACTTCCTCTCAAAAGTGATCACCTAAGCTTTGAGTCGCTTCCCTTGCTTCGGAATGATGACAAAGAAAAGAATGATCGTGGGGCTGCAAAATTTAATCCTAGTGTGAGCATACCAACATTATAAATCAGATATTTCTCAGACAATCTAGTTTCCCTTCCTGCCTTTTTCAAGAGAAACAAAGGAGACACCAAAACAATGAAAAAGGAGGCCCAGTGGGACCATAACAAAACCTAGATAATCTTTTTCCTTTGTTCTTCAGAGTAATGTAAACCCTATTCTATTAAGAGTTATAACTTGCTAATAATACTCTTTATTTGAGTTATCTTCTCACATGTCAGTAACATGTTAACAAATACTATAGTACTATCATGAAGCTGAAAAATGGAATCAGCAATGTTAAAAGAACAAAGTAAAAGCATCAAAATTGCCTCCAATACTTGGGCAGGCATGCATTCAGGTACACATGCCATCAGTGTAAATATAACCTAAAAACTCTCTCTCTATGCAATGAATGGAGAATATAGTGAGGTGTATATGATCATCTTTCGGTGACTGAAAAAACTCCTGTCATGACCCAAGTTCATATCTGAATCCTCGGCATGCAAGATGTATAAAACCAGAATATGAATGAAGGTTATGACAACATCAGCAGTAAACCCTACTATGCTGAAAAGAAGCCAGGTTGGATCTTTGAATGTACATTACAAACCTAAACAAGTTGAGAATGGCAAAGGACACACTGCTGCCCACCTAAATAACATTGATAGTCCAGAAAGAAGAACAGATGGTGTATTTCAATGTCACTTTAGTTCAAGCTACGATGCCAAAGCCTAGAAGGGAGACCAATGGTGCATGGAAATTTTTGGGATCAAGGCATTTACCGAATAAACTGTAAAAGAAGCATGGAATGTACAGCTATCTGAATTACAGGAATAGTCACCTTTGATTGAGCTTCCAGATAGATGATCCTCCCTTAATTTGAAGTTTGCCGGAGGTGCTGGGATAGAACTGTTTGAGGCTTGAACTGCAAGAAAAAGAAGCACATAGTTATTTCCTTGGAATCCAGAACAATTTTCACTGTACTCAATATCAAGAGAAAAAGAAAAAAAAAAGTAAGCAATATGAGGTGAAGTATAAACCAAAACCAACGTTTACCACGACTCAAGTCCAACTGGCAAAACACCCTCCACTACGTGGGCCATACGAATTAAACAAGCTTTGGTAATGCTGGTTGGAATCCTTTTAGCATTAAATGATTAAAAAAAAACCATAAAGATAATGATGATGATAATTATGTAATATGAAAAACAGCAATAAGGACACCACAGGTGCTGCCGCTGCTGCCACCACTTCCACAACACCACCAGGCACCAACTTGTTTTGATGATAAGAAATTGAAAGGGAAAAAGACAATTTTTGTCCAACTAATCAGACGGCTCTCTGTGCTAACCATGCATTCCCAAATCATTCCCTTCTAGCTTAACCTGACATATGAATCTTTCCGACTCCGGCTAATTGTGGGATGGCTAACACAATCTTTAGCAGGACTTGAAGTCGTATTTACATATCAAGTTCAAAACACATACTAAACATGTTTCGGAGGTGCACCCTCAAAATCCTCAGAAAAAAGAAAATAGAAGAAAAGGAAAGCAAAGAAAAGAAAGTGTCACGATACACCGCACAGCCACCATAGAAGTTCCAGTTGTTGGCAAGATATATAAATTAACAAAATTATAAGTGTTTGCATTAAAAAATTGTTTAATATTTCAGCTGATTTAACTTTATTATTCTTAAAACAGAAAAAATCACTAAACACCATATTGCCCAGCAGTAAGGCTTGCACTTGATATATTTTTTCCAGTTTGTCAATTTTTAAGCAAAGAGAACTTGATCTCTGGAATAAAACTTAATGGACACCTTAAGAAAAAGCACAATCACGAGACCTGCATTGACTAATAAACTGCCTGCACTGAATAATAGATCAACATCATACTAAAGAAAGGACGGCAATAAGCATAAAAACATCTACAAAGATTTCAATATCTTGAGATCAATGACTACCATAAGCTCAACAGATCAATATTTCTGCTAAGATATTTAACTGATTGATTTGATTCAGTCGATCAATTATCCAGGACACAAGACAAGACATTATATAATAAGAAACGTAGAGTTCACCTTGTTCACTAAAGAACTCTCTCTCGTTGAAGCTATAGTCAGAAGGATGACCTTGAGAGAATCCCATTCTTGACTTCCTCAAATCTTCTGATGACCGATTGGCAGAATCTCGTCCATCTTCCATATCATCATCTCCTTCCGATGTTGTAGCAGAAACCCAGTCAACCAAACTTTCTGGGCCGCGAATTTTCCTCCCAAACTTTAGAAGCCGTTTAAATCCTTTTGTCACATCCTTACGAGATTGATTATGGGAAGAATAAGTAGCAAGACTTGGCTTTTGAGCACTACCCCATTTCTTCCTCATTCGTGCCACATCAGCCTCTGCTTGATTAAGAGAATGTGAATTCCAAGCTGCAGGATTCCCTATAGGAAAGTCCACAGATGCATCAATATGAAATGCCTCATGTGGATAAGAAAAAGGATGATGAATGCTCAAGTTCCATGATACAGGGCTTTCACCAGGTGAGCCTGGCACAGACACAGCAGGATAGAAGGTTGAAGGCACGGCAGTAGGCAATTCAGCAACCGGACAAGGGTCCAGTTTCAAGGCATCACCATTTTCTAATCCAGAATTCGCCATCTTCTCTGATTCCTGGATCAGTCTTGGTCCTCCACTATCCAGACTTGCATGATCTTCAGTAGTAATGGTTTCAAACTCCTCCTCTTCATCTTTGACAACATCGACCGAATCTTTGTGTATGAAGGTGGCCTCATCAGATTCTTCTTCATAACTCATAGCCTCGGATGTCATTGAGGCCTTCAGTTTGGCAGCATCAGCTACAGCACCTGGACCTCTACCATTCCCAAGGAAAGAGGTTGACACCACATTCTTCGAAATTTTGTCATCGAGACTCTGCTTAGGATGCTCCCTGTCAAATTTTAGTGGTGCCAGAACAACATCCTCAGACTTCAAGGGAGTCATTGCAGAGCTTTTCCTCGAGGGTGGTGATCGACGTGGCGTCTCTTCCTTTACAAGAGGTATTTCTTCACTGGAGCTTTTGCTGCGGGCATAGTTTCTCAATTGCGGACGGATTTTGCTAGCTGCAGAAGGCGGTTTGGTGTTTTCTTTTCTCAAGTCAGAGAAGTTCGGGACTGACAGTGCAAGAGGATTTTCAGATTGCATTCTTCTTTTCCCAGAACTGGGATTGGAAGGTTTGACAGCAGACCTTGGGACTGGTGGTGCCACAGTGGTCCGAGGAAAGGACGAAGAGGAACTTTTATTGGGTAAAAGCTTCTTACCTTGGATGCTCCTGGAAGCACTATCCGCCAAAGTTGTCTCACTAAAAGACCTATCTTGATCTAAACACTTCCGTTCTGCAAATTCAGATATACCTTCATCTTCACTTTGCATAAAATCTAATGGCTGCTGTCAAAAAAGACCTTTTTTTGGTCAGGTAGATATGATAAAAAAGGAACTTTGATCAATTTTAAAAGCAAATAAGCAGCATTCAGCATACCTGCTCCCTTTTTAGAGTTGCACTACTATTAAAGGATCCGAGTCTCTCTGCACGTCGACGAGCACTGGACACTGAATCCTGACTATCCGCAGATCCTGAAAATTTGGCCATCATTTCAGCTCTATTCCTCTCGAGGCTGTCCTGCATGGCCTTTAACTTGGCTTCCTTCTCTGCTCTTTTGGCACCCCATTCTTCCCTAAGTTTTGCATCTCTTTTGTGCATATAGCTATTATAGAATTTTCCTCTAGAATCACCCGAAGAACCAAGCTCAGAAAAATTCTGATTCAAAGCATCAATATAATCCTGATTGTCAACCTTTTTCGTTGCCAAACTACCATTGTATTTGGCCACATTTCTGGAACTTCCAGCAGGGTCGGTCAACGTGTTCTTGGCAGAATATTGTACAGGAGTAATCTCTGCCACTGATTTCCTGTCAGGTGAGCTTGCTTCTGGTTCACTTTGCATGTCGGCAGGCTTGCTTTTCCGTGCAGTGTTGGACTGATCTCCAGGAACTCGAAGTTTATGCTCTGCGAAGAGCTTTTCAAGCTCATTTGCTTTCATTTTCAGCTCATCATTCAGTTCCTGATTTCCTTTAGATGGCCTTACTCTTTGAAGTGGTTCTGCAGGTGGCATCAGAATTGAAGCAAAGCTCTCCTGATCATCTGAAACCATTTTACCAGAGGAACGTGTCCTGCTATTACCATAGACACTGCTTTCATCCCTCCTACCTTGTTGTGACTTATTGACATGGTTAGAGGCAGAAAATTGATTTGGGAACTTCATTTTTAGGAGTCCAGAATCTGCCACTGTGACCACAGAACTGCCAGATTGCTTCTCAGAAGGAATTCCAACTTCCTCAAGTTCTCCTAAGGATCTCAACCTGGTCTGAGAATGTGAGTCACCCTCAGTTGCTTTATACTGGGAAGCAAAGGCTTCTCCAATTTTTGATCCAAAGCCACCTTCCAATATCCCAGATTCCACAGCAGTCCTCACAGAGGCCTTCAAACGTGGTCGAGAAACAGGTTGATCTGTCAATCCAACACCCTCCACTTGGTCTGGAATTTCAGTATGCAAAAGTTGAGATGATTCACTGTTGGATCTCTTGTCACCACCCCTACTTGCAAAAGCTCCAGACTGGGTCTGAGGAGTAGCCTGCACTCCGGAAACTACGTGCTGCTTGATGGCACCATGTTTGTCAACAATGACAGAACCCCCGTAGTTCCCTTGATCCAACGAACCAAATTGGTGTTCTGCTCTACGCCCAGGCAAAGATCTGATTTGTGGTTGAGAAGTTGATTGATCCTTCAATCCGCTATCCTCAGCCCTGCCCAACAACCGAGACTGAGTCTTACCCGGTGGTTGATCATTCAAACCATCAATTTCAACTGTTCCCGAAGTAGAAGTCAACTTGTTAGACTCGTAAGCATCTCCTGACCTACCAGAAGAAACCGTCAACTGAGTACCAGAATTTGTCACCACCTCTTCTATTCCAGAGGTAACTCCAACCCGACTCTGATAATCAGCTTGCTCTCTCAACCCAATATCATTAACCCTCCCTGGAACTATTTTGAATTCGGGCTTTGCAGATGTTGCTGTGTCATTCAATCCCTTTCGGTCCTCGAACTTGGTCTGCGAAACAGAGGCAGAGGATGGCGTGCATAGAGGGCTCTCAATATCCTTCGTTTCTCCACTCAGATCAATACTCATGTCACTAACACCGCTCCATCTCCTCAACACCGACTTGTCGACCGAAGCAGCAGAGGACGCATCCGACGAGAGTCTCCGAAGTTCAGAAGACTTCCCAACAACAACAGGCTTGCCACCACTACTGGAAGTTTCTTTCTGTTTGTTCTCAAACAGGTTAATCCGATCCTGTACGCTAAGCCGCCTCGCAGGCTGACCCTTCTGAGAGGACTCTACTTTATTTGAACCCTCTTCTTTCTGAACAGGAACAGCCCCGACGTCTTCTATGCTATCGTCTTTCTCGACGCTTGATTCTCTACTACATCGTAATGGGAACGAAGGCTTAGGTTGCTGACACGTGGAGGGCTTTGAATGCTCGAGGGGTAGTTGGGTTGCCTCTAGTTCTCGGCCGGTCAGGTGTCTATCGTCTTGGAGGTGTTGGCTTTGGGGTTGGTGGGGCCCGGGATGTTGTTGTTGTTCTTGTTGAGTGGTAGCAACATCTTCGTCGATGGACATGTCCGACCCATATGAGGACGGGAGGGCTCGAACCTTCACTCCTGCCTTCCATGGGTTGATCAGGTCCGACCTTCTCTCGCACAAGGATCTGAATTTGCAGCAAGCTTCGCTGCACAATAATATGAGATAAATTACAAATTAATTGAAACTAAAATTCCAGAACAAAAGTTTTTGTGAAAATAAGAAATATTTCAGAAACAGAAAACACCACCTACCAATTACCAAACCAAAAAAAAAAAAAAAAAAAAAAAA